AAAACAAACAAAAAGAGAAGGACCCTCTTTTTACTGATAAATTTTAAAAAAGAAGAAACTCCTTTCTCTAGGTTGACAAACTCACACCCAGTCACAAAGGGACCATGACTTGGCACCTAGACACAGGGCACCTAGACACAGACTAGATTTAAGACCCCATTCCTTCCTTTGGTCAGATGTCTCTTTACAACAAAATACTGGAGGTATTTTCAGGGTATTTTCAAAAGACCTTATACTTAATGACTAGCCAAACATTTCTAAATACTTCAGTAGGAGGCAGTGGCTTATATTTATCAATTCAGTTTGGATACTATCTGCTAAAAATGCCTAGGTAATTTAATACACTTGATATAGTTTCTAAAAGATTATTACAAATGAAGATTACATTATTCATTAAGAGTCTTGGAGATATGTTTCATATAAAATCAAACACTAAAAGGGATAGAAGCTAACATTATACATTCTTCCAATCCTAGAGAGAGTGAACATATGAAAATGTGGGAGACTAATCTCTTTTATTGTTATGTTAATGCAAAATACTTGCATCTTTGGCATTTTTAATAGCATTACATGTATAGATTTTTTAAATTGCCCTTCTGTGTATTAGCAAGGACTAGTAGCAACTAATTGCCTATGCACTCTAAGTGAAACTTTATGGCCTTATGAATTGGCCTTGTATTAGACTGCCATAGGGTTTTTTCTGTATTTTCTAAGAAGTAATGTGTTTCTAAAAACTGAACTAAGATTTTAAAAACCTGGGAACTCATTTAAGATCTGCCATTTATCAATCAAATAAACTTTAAAAATCAACAACCTTTATGAGGATCACATTTCCATTTATAAATTGGGGCAAGAAATACTTGCTCTGGCTTCCTTTCTATGGTTAAGTTGTTTGGAGAAAATTAAAGTAATATGTGAAAGTATTTTAAACTTGTAAAGTCCTATGCAGAAATAAAATGTAATTATTTGAAGTCTATTAGGTTGTACTTTGAAAAATGGCTTGACTTCTTATTGACATCATTTATCATACATGAAATGTGGTCAGCCAAAACACATTGGAATATCATTTTTAGCTAATCCACTTTTATCAAGTTTTAGCCCAATAAATCATGTACCTACATTTTCCAGTGTGTTGATTCCAAAGGTGCTATTTAGTTCTCCAGGGCTAGAATGTGGAGGGTCATTCTTCCTCCTGAATGAATGAAAAGAATTTTCCCCTCTAATACTCAAAGTATATACTGAGTACAGGTGGGAAAATGTGGTAAGCCATCCATGGCATTTTTAAAAAAAATAACAGTTTATGTTCATTAGGTTGCTCTTTTTTCCTATCCTCTTAAAGCAAGCTGTTTCATACTATACTTCCAGGGAAATGTCGGTATACGTAGTTCTTTCATAAAACTCATTCACATACAGATAGCATTCATACTTCAAGGCTTAAAAACCACTTAGTGAGGTCCGGGGGATTAAATAGCACAACAATTTCCTTACAATGCCTTTTCAGTCACTGAGATCCTACATTTGTCTGTACTATTTTTATTAGTAGGCGTTATATATGTACATAGTGATAGATTCATATAATGAAAATTGTTAACAGGGAATGTGTTTCCCTTTAATGCTCTCTGTATGTCCAGTCTTTTGCAGAAATATCCAGTCAACAATGACTTGTGTATCATTTCAGATGTATCTCTGAATATCTAAATGGTATCATAATATATACACTCTTACAACTTGCATTTTTCCTGAATTATGTATCTTGGTTGTCACTGAAATCAGTTTTTATAGATATTTTTAATTATTTAATGGCCATAATATAAATCCATTATATGTTTATATGTAACTTATTTAATAATCTCTTGACCCATTTATGTTGTTTTCAATATTTTACTACCATAAACAATATTGAGATAAATATCCTTACGCAACTGTCTTATGCTAAGGTGTGAAAACACCTGCAGGATACAATTCTAAAAATGAAATGAGTATCAGATATTATATGTGACTTTTATTTGCCTACTTAAATTTCCCTGCAAACAGGTTTTCATTATGTGAGCCCATGTACCCCCATTCCATCATCAACACAGTTTATAATCAACCTTTCATACTTTGCAATTGTGATAGCTGAAAAATCATGTCTCATTTTCAGTTTTGAATCAATTTTACTATATAGAATTTTTATACAGCATCTTTCATATGCTTAAGTCTTTTGCATTTATTTTTGTATAAACCTTCTTTCACTGTCCTTTGCCCATTTTTCTATAGGAATTTTCACAGATTTTCATTGATTTCTAATGGCTCCTAATAAATTAAGAGTTATATTTTATCTGTCAAATGGCTCAAAATCTGTATTTAGTGTGTCACTGATTTTTAATTTGGATAACACCTTTCATGCAAGAATTTAAAAAAATTTGTTTAGTCAGTTATCTGTACTTTAAGACTTCTTAGTTTTGCATTATATTTGAAAAGATTCATCCACTACAATTATGAAAAAAAACTTCCAATTTTATTATGGTATTTTTACCATTTAATTTTTTTTCATTTAATTATTTTATCCACCTCATGTTTATTTTGTACTAAGGAGTGATCTAGATTTAAATAAATTCAAATTTATTGTGTGTTTTTTCAGGGGGTTCAGAAATTTTTCCATTTCTATTCATATAAGAATGAATTATTTCTTCAGGAATTAAAGATTACCTTTATTATAAAGTAACTTTGTGTTTGGGCATTTGTTCCTGAGTTTCTATTAATCTCTTTGATTTTTTTGTGCGTAAGTACTCAGTTGCTCTGGTCTCTAAAACTGTATACATATTGAAATATCCTACAGGGCTAGTTCCTACAAAGTATTCTTCTTTTAAAGAATCTTCCTGGCAATTCTTGAAAGATTTTTACTACAAATAAACCCTATAATTAGTTTGCTTGGTTACAAATAAAAATAATTTTGGCATACTTTTTTAATGCATTAAATTTATTATTCATTTATGGAAAACTTGTATCTTTATAATACAGATTCAAGGAAAATGAATGCCTTTCTATTCAACTACTCTTTTAAGTCTCCCATGTCATTTTAATTTATATCTTCTTTTCCTGTTAAGATTTTCCAAAGAAAGTTCATCTTACTCTTTTACTATCGTAAATGGCCTATTTTCTTTCATTGTTTTCTAGATGGTTGAATATATATGTACCTATATATGCATGTGTGTGCATGCCTATTTTATATTCCATAATTTTTCAGTTTACTTACATGTAATTTTAAGGTAAAGTTCCATCACTTCAAATATCTGTAACTTTGATTTTCTTCTCTAGTCTAAATGTGTCAAATAACTCCTCCCAAAAATATAATATATTTTTGATATCAGAGTCCTTTAAGCGTTCTTGCCTTTATTGGCGAAACTTCTAATTCTCCATGAAAAATGATACTGGTTTTTGCTCTGTATCTATATTGCTATACCTATATCTACATAGCATTATATACATACATGCGATGCAGGTTTTATAAGTGTGTAAATATATATAAACTTTTTATTTTCTTACACCATGTGCCTTTCACAGCACTTGTATGTTACTCTTAAAGGACAGCATGAAGGCAGGTGGATTCTTCTGGGGCTCAGTCAAGTCTTATATAGGATTTGCTGAGTTATCTAATTGCAGAAAAGTAAAATTCACAGGCTCTCTCCTCTAGTTTATGTAAAGTAAAGCTCCTTAGGGCAGAGTGAATGTGGCATTGTGGTGAAAAACAAAAAGGTTTTCTCTTTTGAGGCGGAGAGTTGGATGATGGAAGGTTTTTTTTGTCTCAAACAAAAGAACGTGTCCCCTCATTGATAAGATAAAATGAAAGAGTTATAGACCAAGTCAGCTACTAACTTTGACATTCAATACATTGCTTACCCTTTTTTCTCATTTAAAATATATGAAAGTTAGAGTAGATAATGCCAACATATTTTTCATATTTAACATTCAAATGCTGTCACAACTCAAACTTTAAGGTGACTACATGGCAAACTAGATTACAAGACGAGATTATAGTCTCCATTTATGCATCTTTATTCCCTACAGGTTCAAAATTTAGGGAAATAACATACTTCAAAGCTTCTATTTCTGCTTATTTGATCCTCATTTTCATTTGTATGAAAAATGGGAAGTGAATTCAGAATATATTTCTGTTTAATTTTGTATTCAGCCAAGCTTTTTTTCTAATTTTGTTGAAAAGTTTAAACTCATATAAGGTTAAGCTCTACTGAGATGCAGATTTCTTGGAAATTAAAATAAAGGATTGGAAAAATAGTTTGTTTGACATGGAGAGGGTGGTCCTAATAGTTCTGGTTTTTCTTAGACAGTAAATCTCAATGTGATAGTGGCTTAACATAATGTCATCCAGGATTGTGATGAGATCTTTTTCTTCTGCTAAGCAGGTGCATTCATCATTATTACTCTTGCCAAGTCATTTTAGTGTGAAGAATTTGAAATACCAGTATATCTCTATACATTGCTTTGTGCAGGGCACATTCTTGTCACCAGTCAAGCTTGAGGTCTAAAGAGTGGAAGCAGTGAAACGTGGCTTGCCACACAGCTCTCCATTGAGTTTCTTGAAAACTTGGTTCAGTGTCACCCAAGAGCCTATGAAACATGAGCAGTGAGGAAAGATCACTAATAACAACATTCTGGCAAGCAGCCAATCTTTCTGCAGTGAAGTTCTGCTCACTTTAATGTAGCTCCACTGGGCTGATACATGTGGAGGATGGATGGCAGCAGGATGCTCTAACAGCTGCTAGGTGATAAGCTGAAGTGGGCCAATGCATGTGGGCAGGGAAGGAGGAGTACAGATATTAGAACTTTTGCTAAAGGGCTGCTAACACCACATTGCACCATCATGGTGCTGTCTAGTTGTAGACCAATACCACACAATAACATCAGAGAATCCATCTTGGCCTATAACTTCCAGAAAAGAAGTATTTTTTTTTTTCTAAGTAATATTGGGAATCCAAAGAAACAGAGACATAGTTCTGAGTGCCGGATTGACTTTTATTTTGACATGCACTCCCTTAAACATGTAAACAGACAGATATCTAAATGTTTTTATTTTTCTTCTATAAAATCAGCAGGTTCCACATTTCCAGCCTTCAGAATATGTTCTTTTAGCTTTCTTTTCAAATCCTGTAAATCAGCATGAGAAAAAGAATGGCATGAGTTAAAGCGAGGTAATAAAAACTGAAAGAACAATTAAGAAGTAAAAAAGTCTGCAATACTTTTCTAACAACTAAGTCCTCTCCTGGAGGGCTTTGTGTATTTTTGGAGATTAAATTAGTCTTAAGTTGGTGCTAAGGCTTAAAGTTGTCTGAAAGAATAAGCATTATGTTGGGAGAAAAATATACTGAAGAATTTTTACTGTTTAGAGGAAATATACTATATCTGAATGCCCATTTATGTGCATCCAGTTATCATCAAATACAATAGATCATGACTTACTGGTTGAATGGCCCATTCCTTGACTCCTAGTTTGAAGCTGATTAGGTGATTGTGTCATATATTAAAGTACAGTTTACATGTAGGACTAGATTTGATGCAGTTTGTGTTTTTTGGGTATTGTCCTTAAAATCAAGATATTTCAGACATCTTCCAAGCTTGTAATCAACAACCACTATCCATTCATTGACTTTCATTTTTGTTGCACATCTACCAAGTACATGACACAGTACAAGGGATGGAGTGTACAATAGTGAATAAGAAATATGTAACTTCTAAACTCCTTGAACTTGCATATTTATTGTTTAGAGCCTACTTTATTTGGTATTGTTCAGGAATACCCAGTCATATAATACATGACACCTGTTTATAAAAGACCAACAGTTTCACTGGAGAAGTATTAACCATATGAAAAGTAAATATGAAATGATGTCATAATTATGAGTTTTTCAGAGCACACCCACTTTTTGAATGAAAGGCCAAAGAATAAATATAATTCATGGGCCAAAAATTCTCTAGTACAACTACTCAACTCAAAAAATTGCCATAGACAATGAGCAAAGTAATGGGTGTGAATTTATGCTGATAAAACTTTATTTGTAAAAGGAGACAGTGGGCTAGATTTGGCCCATTGGTTATAATTGCTCAATTCCTACCTCAGAAAATAATTTGTATAGGAGTTGGAAAGTGGGGTGTTTACAACAGAATATTAGAAGATACACTGATCTTAAATTCTGGACAGAAGGTAGCTTATACTCATTTTACAGTATTTCAGCAAAATAATTAGAATATACCCTACATCTTCTTATTGACAGTGCATGAATTCACGTATCTGGAATCAAACTCTGCTACCCATGTCAAATTTAACTCTTATCTTTCCTAGCCCAGCTCTTTCAATATGAGACTATATCCTTTGGTTTTGAGCTTGATTCCTAGAAAAAGACTTACTCCCTGAATCTCTAAACACTCAAAGGACAATCACAAATTGACTGCATTAAGTCTTAGGTTCTTTGTTTATTTTTTAAAATTCTTCTAAAATTAATATACAGGGTCATATTAATTTCATGTATACAATATAGTGATTCTACAATCATACATTACTCAATGCTCATTACAATAAGATTGTATCTTTTTTTAAGCAGTATCTTTTTAGTTTTTTAAATTTAAATTCAGTTAGCCAACATATAGTATATGATTTGTTTTTTTATTATGTTAATCACCATATATTACATGATTAGTTTTTGATGTGGTGTTCCATGATTCACTGTTTGCGTATAACACCTAGTGCTCATCAGATCACGTGTCCTCCTTAATGCCCATCACCCGGCTACCCCATCTCCCACCCCCCTCTCTTCCACAACCCTCAGTTTGTTTTCTGGAGTCAAGAGTCTCTCATGGTTTATCTCCCTCTCTAATTTCTTCCCATTCAGTTTTCCCTCTCTTCCCCTATAGTTCTTTGCGGTATTCCTTATATTCCACATATGAGTGAAACCATATGACAATTGTCTTTCTCTGACTTATTTCACTTAGCATAATATCCTCCAGTTCTATCCATGTCGATGCAAATGGTAAGTATTCATCCTTTCTGATGGCTGAGTAATATTCTATTGTATATATTAACCACATCTTCTTTATTCATCTGTTGAAGGACATCTCAGCTTCTTCCACAGTTTGGCTATTGTGGATGTTGCTGCTGCAAACATTGGGGTGCATGCCCCTTCTTTTCACTACATCTGTATCTTTGGGATAAATATCCAGTAGTGCAATTGCTGGTTCGTAAGGTAGCTCTATTTTTAACGTCTCAAGGAAACTCCATGCTGTTTTCCAGAGTGGCTGCACCAGCTTGCATTCTCACCAACAGTATAAGAGGGTTCCCTTTCTCCACATCCTTGCCAACATTTGTTGTTCTCTGTCTTGTTTTAGCCATTCTGACTGGTGTAAGGTGGTATGTCATTGTGGTTTTGATTTGTATTTCCCTGATGGCACATTATGTGGAGCATTTTTTCATGTCTGTTGGCCATTAGTATGTCTTCTTTGGAGAAGTGTCTGTTCATATCTTCTGCCCATTTCTTGACTGGATTATTTGTTTTTTGGGTGTTGAGTTTGGTAAGTTCTTTAGAGATCTGGATACCAGCCCTTTATCTGTAATGTCATTTGCAAATATCTTCTCCCATTCCATCGGATGCCTTTCAGTTTTGTTGATGGTATCCTTTGCCATGCAAAGCTTTTTATCTTGATGAAGTTCCAATAGTTCATATTTGCTTTTGTTTCCCTTGCCTTTGGAAATGTGTCTTGCAAGAAGTTGCTGTGGCCGAGGTCAAAGAGGTTACTACCTGTGTTCCTCTAGGATTTTGGTGGATTCCTGTCTCACACTTAGGTCTTTCATCCATTTTGAGTTTATCTTTGTGTATGGTGTAAGAGAATGGTCCAGTTTCATTCTTCTGCATGTGGCTGTCCAATTTTTCCAGCACCATTTATTAAAGAGACTGTCTTTTTTCCATTGGATATTCTTTCCTGCTTTGTCAAAGATTAGTTGACCATAGAGTTGAGGGTCCATTTCTGGGTTCCCTATCCTATTCCATTGACCTATGTGTCTGTTTTTGTGTCAGTACCATGCTGTGTCAATATTCACAGTTTTGTAATATAGCTTTAAGTCAGGCATTGTGATGCCCCCAACTTTGCTTTGCTTTTTCAACATTCCCCTGGCAATTCGGGGACTTTTCTGGTTCCATACAAATTTTAGGATTGTTTGTTCCAGCTCTGTGAAAAATGTCAATGGTATTTTGATAGGCATTGTATTAAATGTGTAGATTGCTGTAAGTAGCATAGACATTTTAACAATGTTTATTCTTGGGCGCCTGGGTGGCTCAGTTGGTTAAGCGACTGCCTTCGGCTCAGGTCATGATCCTGGAGTCCCGGGATCGAGTCCCGCATCGGGCTCCCTGCTCGGAAGAGAGTCTGCTTCTCCCTCTGACCCTCTCCCCTCTCGTGCTCTCTATCTCTCATTCTCTCTCTCTCAAATAAATAAAAATAAAATCTTTAAAAAAAAAAAACAATGTTTATTCTTCCAATCTGTAAGCATGGAATATTTTCAATCTCTTTGTGTCTTCCTCAATTTCTTTCATAAGTGTTCTGTAGTTTCTAGAGTACAGATCCTTTACCTCTTTGGTTATAGTTATTCCTAGGTATCTTATGGTTTTTGGTGCAATTGTAAATGGGATGGATGCCTTAATTTCTCTTTCTTCAGTCATGTTGTTAGTGTATAGGAATGCAACTGATTTCTGTGCATTGATTTTGTATCCTGCCATGTTGCTGAATTCCTGTATGAGTTCTAGCAATTTTGCAGTGGAGTCTTTTGGGTTTTCCACATAAAGTATCATGTCATCTGTGAAGAGTGAAAGTTTGTCTTCTTTGCCAATTTGAATACCTTTTATTTTTGTTGTTGTTGTTGTTATTGTCTTGAGGCTAGAACTTCTAGTACTGTGTTGAACAACTGGTGAGAGTGGGCATCCCTGTCGTGTTCTTGACCTTAAGGGGAAAACTCTCAGTTTTTCCCATTGAGAATGATATTCGCTGTGGGCTTTTCATAGATGGCTCTTATGATTTTGAGGTATGTTCCCTGTATCCCCTATACTTTGAAGAGTTTTAATCAAGAAATGATGCTCTATTTTGTCAAGTGCTTTTTCTGCATTAATTGAGAGGATCAATCAAGACAAGAGATTCTTGTCTTTTATTAATGTGCTCTATCATGTTGATTGATTTGTGAATGTTGAACTACCTTTGCATCCCAGGAAAAAATTCCACCTGGTTGTGGTGAATAATCCTTTTAAGGTACTGTTGGATCCTATTGGCTAGTATCTTCGTGAGTATTTTGGCATCCATGTTAATCAGGGATATTGGTCTGTAATTCTTTTTGATGGGGTCTTTTTCTGGCTTTGGGATCAAGGTAATGCTGGCCTCATAGAATGAGTTTGGAAATTTTCTTTCCATTTCTATTTTTTGGAACAGCTTCAGTAGAATAGGTATGATTTCTTCTTTAAATGTTTGCTAGGATTCCCCTGGGAAGCCATCTGGCCCTGGACTCTTGTTTTCTGGGAGGTTTTTTATTAGTGCTACAATTTCCTTGCTGGTTATTTAGATTTTATATCTCTTCAATTTCCTTGCTTGGTGTGTTCAGATTTTATATCTCTTCCTGTTTCAGTCCTGGTAGTTAATAAATTTCTGGGAATGCATCCATTTCTTCCAGATTGTCTAATTTAGCATATACTTGCTCATAATATGTTATTAAAATTGTATTTCCTTGGTGTTGGTCATGATCTCTCTCATTTATGATTTTATTAATTTGGGTCCTTTTTTCTTTTGGATAAGTCTGGCCAGAGGTTTATAAAGGTTAGAGCAGAAATCAATGAAATAGAAACCAGAAGAACAGTAGAACAGATCAATGAAACTAGAAGCTGGTTCTTTGAAAGAATTAATACAATAAGTATACTCTTAATCCCCTTCATCTATTTCCTCCATACCCCACATACCTCCCCTCTCATAACTACAGGCTTGTTCTCCATAGTTTTCTTGCCTCTTTATTCCTTTGTTTTGGTTCTCAAATTCCACATATGAATGAAATCATATGGTATTTGTCTTTGACTTATTTCACTTTGCATTATACCATATAGATCCATCCATTTTGTTGTAAA